CAACATCAAACGTGCGGTTTCGACTAAAAGCACGCGGGTTGCTATTATCCCAAGCCTTCCTGCAGGGCCGCTGAGACGTTTTGACTTGCGTCAAACTATACCAGCTCTTTCTAGTCTGATTTACCAAAACGTCGCATGGAGTAACGAATTCGTAGAGAGTGCTACAGTTTCAGCTACTCCGTGCCCCACTACCCCGCGCGACTCTGCAGGGCCGCTGAAACGTTTTCACTTGCTTCAAACTATACCAGCTCTTTCTATTCTGGTTTAGCAAAACGTCGCATGGACATAAACATAACTGAGATTTTCAGACTTCCTCCTGAGTCATCTTGAGAACAGGTTCCTGAACTTCTGGAGTAAAATCCCCGTGGCCCCATCAGCAATGTCGTGTTGCGATACGCAGCAAGCGTTGTGCGTTTGCTGAAGGTTGCTGACATCTGGAGATGCTGTTGCGCAGGCTCGAAGAAACGGGAAAACAGATAAGGGACTCCGTCCCCGGCTGGCCCTCGAAACCCATCTTGTCGACCCCGGTCTTGTCGACCAAAACCACCATGGAGCGGGTCTCCGCTTCCATCCCCTTGGCTGACACCTTCAAGGAAAGCCGTGGAAACTGGGCCTCGTAGGTCTCCTCGTGACCCTTGGCCTGAAGATGATCCGAGAAGGCCCTCGCGTAGCGGCACATCAGGCTGCGTGCTTCCGTGTGCTGCGCCATGGTCCTCAAGCGCGCCTTTTGCGTCGAAGCATCCTGCATGGTGGGCGCCTTTGAAGAGCTCGCCCTCTCTCCCTGCTTGCCCTTCTTGCCCCTGTTGCGAGGGTATGACAAGTGCCCCGGCGCGGGCTTTCAACACCAGCCCCCGCTTGGGCATGGCCTTCACTCTGATGGCCGGCATGGCCTTCACCATCACCCTTGGCTTCCCCGACGTAACCCTTGACGCTGCCATGGCCTTCCCGACGCTCCCCTTTGGCAAACCCTCGGTGTGGCTGATCTCCTGGGCATGTGTTGACCCTGTCTCCGAAGCCATGGAGGCAACCGATGGAACTCCCCCGGTGGTTGCGTAGTCCCTCGCCAAGTGCCGAAGGATGCCAAGAATCAACACAACCCTCTCTGTCACTGGCACGCTGGAACCCTGACCCTGCAACGCCGACCCCTGACCCTCGACTATCTCCGGGTCCTCTTCCCCGGTGGCTGTCGTCATCTCTGGGCGGCGCCAGTCCTGATCGACTCCTCGTCCGAGCTCGACACCATCCCGAAGAGCGGTGGCCGAGAAAAAAGGAGGATGACTCTGGGGTTCGGGCACAAAGCGGCTCGCAGACAGCCAGAAACAGTTCTGAAAAACTTCTACCTTCAGCTCGTCCCTGTGTCTCCCCCTTCCTAGCAAAGGACCGAACACCTGACACTCGCTAAAGTCAACCAACCAACCCTTCTTCAAGAGGAGGCCCAGAGAGAGAAGGCTGAAACGAACAGGAGCAATTAAAGCTTCAAAGACCACTGGCACGAAACCTGCGGGAGGAGATCCGTTACTTGAAGGATCGTGTCGTTTACTATTTGGATATGCCAGTTGAAGAAGATATTATGTTGGCTAACTGAAGATATAAGTTTTGTAAATCAAATTATAACTCCTTCAAGTTTGGTAAGTGATTTATATATCATAGTAAGTGCAATCAAGCACATATAAATATTTGTCATGGTTAGTTTTCAAATACAACATTTAGGTAAATGGTTCATAAGTAATTAGTAAATGATTATGCATGAAATATATTTATTTGGATGACAACTTATAAGTCAAGTAAGTGGATTTATGCTGTGTTGAAAAGACACAGGAAAGCTGGCCAGACAAAGAGCAAACTTGCATGAAACACGTGCGAGAGCGGCATTTGGAGACATGCGACAGACTGCTTGCATGCATGGGTGCTGCATATATCATGCAAACATGATCGTCGGCAGGGCAATGCTCGTCGGCAGAATCATGTGCATGCTCCTCATGATTCATGAATCACATGCACTTTATATTCATGGCACATCAGCTGCTCAAGTGTGTCCGCACGGTTTTCGGTGTTTGCCATCCAGCTGGTGCGATGGATGCCGCTCTTCTCGCAAGGTGCGAGAGCATCCTTGACTCCGCCAAGGACGGCGAGGGGCTCGTGAAGAATGTTCACGAGTGCCTCACACTCTTGGAGTCCCGGGGGCTGCTGTACAAAATGGCTTTGCACCCGTCGATGATCGGCATATCGCCGCTCAACCGCGACGGGAGCGGCGTGAATGCCGTGGACGTCCACGATTTGCTTTCGGATATCTTGGCCGCAGGCTTTCTCGAGGACCGGGTCTCCGCGATCGGGGTGGAGGTGCAGTCTGCAGCCGAAGTGACTTGGAACGTGGAGTTCTTCAAAGCCACACACGGAATGCTGGGTACCTTTGACCCCAGCGCCATCAAGTGTCTAAGCTTGGCTGGCTCGCACACAAATTGTGTGTTGCGGATCCTGTCCCAAGAGATCCAGCACGAGGGAGACGAGAGCATTTGTCACGATGGACGTCTCAACATGGAACTGCTCCGCAAGAAGGATGAAAGCTTTTACAAAGCCGCCCAAAATGGGGTGACGTGGAAAGTTATCACCAAGGAAGCTGCAGCAAGTCTGCCACATCTGATGTCGATGGTACAAAGAATGGGAAACGCCACTCTTCAACGCCACGAACACGAGTTGCAGCTGATGCGTCGCCTACACGGCATGTGGATGCTCGAAGCAACCCAGCACCAACACGTTGACTTCATGACGATCAAGAAGCGAGTGACGACCGGAAAGACTGTGCATCACAAGTCTCTTCCACACCTCTACACTTTCGCCTTGAAGTTCGGGGGCGGTCGCATCCCGTTCTTGTTGGACGAGACGGAATCCTTCGTGAGGCGTCACAGCCCCAGCACTCGGAGCCTAGGTGCTGAGTTCTGGGACAAGATTTCCCAGGAGGTGAAGGGCACAAACCAATTCCCCAGGGCCAGGCATGCACTTGCCCCGTGATTCCGAAACAGAACATGTTGAGCTTTGTTGTTGCATGTTGCACACATTTTCACATATATGTTTATCTGACATTTAATTTCGAGAAGCCCAGGTGAAGCTCGCATATGCCAAAGAGATTGCTCAGGCAGCTGATGTCAAGAGGCTGTTACACAAAGACCTCCTGAGCGAGGTTCGCACGGCGGACGGGTTCATGCACCAGTGGCGATCGTTGGTAGAGAAGCTCCCAGAAGGCACGGATCTTCTGAGAATGCCCGAGCTTTCCACAGCTCTCAGCTTGGCAGACATTCATCTCATCGGTTTCGTGTTGAAGATGCCACTGGAAGTGAAGCAGTACACTTCGAAAGAGGCCCTGGCACACGATGTGGTTGTGATCATGCGAGGCATCTGCCACCGGCACATCGAATCGCCATGGGAGCAGCATGCCATGACAGTGCAAAGCGAGTCGGGTAGTAGCCCAAGCCCAAAAGTCACGACGATGCGGGAACTCAATCCCGATGGGACCGTGAAGGATGGCCTGACCCTTCTGCAAGATGCAGGCTTCACCATCGGATCGTTCTGTAGGAGGAAGAGCGATGGCCAGTCCGGCCAGATCGCGGGGTGCCAAGCTGGGAAGGTTCAGCTCAAGCAGATCGATGGCACTCTAGGCAAAGTCGTGATGGATGTGTTTCTGAGTGGAGATTGGGTGACCTACACTCCCAAGCCCGAGCCGGTGCTTCTCAAAGACATCTTGCAGTATGCCCCAAGCAAGCATCCTGATCTTGAAAAGCAGCGAATGCAAGCCATGATCACACTCGACATGTTGGAGTTGCAGGCTAAGCATGAAGCAAACACTATGCTTTCACGGCTTGAGATGCACTTGAAGCCGCAGAAGAAGGTCTTAGCCGTGAGCAAGATTCCCAAGAACAAGTTGATCGTGGTTCCGTGCTCTCTCCAGGTGAAGAGTGGCACGAAGCTGCCGGATGATTGCATCGAGATCATGCAGCCTTTGGCAGGGGTTCACTTTTGGTCCCAGCCCATGTTGATGCTGCCCAAGGCCGAAGGGGACCCCGGGTTTGCCAACCCGGCTTTCATGGTGCAGACCACACACGACGAGGAGGTCGGCAACATGGAGCTCTCTTACATCAAGAGTCACAGGGACAGCAAGGTGCACTTGCCGGTCCTGAAGAATCCACGGGAAATCGCAGAGGGTGAGAGCCTTTTCATTTACAAGCCCAAGGTTGAAAAGCAGGTTGTGCCTCTGGATGCAGATTCCCCGAACCGACCCGGGAAGAGACTCCGCACTAAGGGTCCGGGACAGTGAGGCATGCACATCTCATGCACATGCACAGGAGGTTTCGTGGAAGCATTGGCACTTGCATGCATGCAGCCTCTGTGCTGGCACTGGCATAGATATCGATTCTGAGCGCCTGGCAGGATGGGTGCTTTCGAGCATCAGTGCAAAATGCTGCATGTGCAAACTTTGCTTCAGCTGCTCTTCGTAGTTGGCACATGACAGTGCCCAGTCAGTTTTGAAGTGTTCGTGCATGCCTGAGTGAATCGGTGCAAGAACTCGGATGTTGCCGGTTGCTGTGTAGCTCATGAGCTCTCGAGTCCTATAGAGATTGTTCCACGGACATGGCATCTGGTTCCGAACACGAAGAAGATGCTGGGCTGCGACTTTGCACAAAGACTGTGGTTTGGCTCCGGCAGACCCACAGCATATCACATGCACCATCATGCACATGCCACGATGGTTTTTGGGGAAGCATTGGCACATGCATGCATATATGCTTGCTTGGGCCACACAACGATCTTCATGACACCGCGAGGATGGCAGCATTGCAGCATGCAGCTGTGCAAAAAATGCCATTCGTGATCGCTGTTGTGGTGTGCTGTCATTGGCAAAGCCGCATTCACTTGAGGTGCTTGCATGTGCATGAGCGAATCCTTGCATGACATGTTACAGCTTGTATGTGTAGTTGAGCTCTTGTGTGCACACACCTCCCGTCGACATGGCTGATGATTCTGAACATGAAGATGACCGTGACGTTCGACTATGCACAAAGACCGTGGTCATGTATGGGAAGGGCGAGCAGTGGATCCCGACTCAGAAGAACGAAGAGGGCATGGTGTGGTTTTCGGTGAACGGCAGGTGGGACAGAGGCTTCACGAAATTTGTGTTCGGCAAGGCCCTAGATCTCCGGAAGGACAAGGATAGCCGGTCGTTAAACAGCAAATTCTTCGATGACTTGATGACCCAGAGACAGACGACATTCAACGAAGTCATCCAAAAGCGCCTGCAAAGCGAAGACGACGACCAAGAGGACACCCCGCCCCAAAACAAGAAGGTCTTCAAGAGTTTCAAAGCCACAGCTGCCAAACATCAACAATATGCCCCGTATTACATCGACATGCAGTTGCCTGCCATCGAGGAAGGTGGCCCGACTCCCACAGCAAAGGTTCTCTTCGAAGGGCTTGGCAGTCATACTTTGTGGTTTGAACTTACAGAGGCGAACTTGCGACACTTGAAAGCTGGCTTTGTGAACTCGGAGAGCAAGGACCGGCAGCCCCGAGGAGCCAAGAGAAAGAAAGAGATATAGGCGGCTAGCTTTTTCGCCAGCAGGGCAATGCTCGTCGGCAGAGAACATATAAGCACGAACATGATGCAATCCCGACTCGTAGCTCATGTGCATGCTGGAAATCAAGAAAAGTGCTGCTGTCTTTTCTATGTTTTTCTATATTCATAGAAAGAAAAGTCTTTATATCACCAGCTCCATGTCAGCAGTTGGGTTTATAGGGGGGTTGTGCTTGGTTTTGCGATTCGCAACTGTCCTGCAAGCTTGACTGATGGCTGTTGATCATGTCAGGATACAATGTCTTGTGCAATGCATGGTGCAGGCTCCGAGCTGGTTTTGTAGGCATGGCTTCGCCTGTTTTCCGAGGGCATGGTGTGCTGTGTGTATACATATACAGACACGTGCCACATGTGATAGATGATGCTCGCATGCCATCACAGCAATGCACCAGGCAATGCACACAGCAGTGCACTATATGCAATGCACATGCACATGTCATGCAGACCCTGCTGGCAGCTTCATAGGGGGTCGCCATGATGCGGTTCTCCATCGGAGATGTGACCGAGGATCGACCGGCCTTGTTCGTTCGCTTGGACCTTATAAATGATTTTTTGTTGCAGGAGTCCGTGGACTGGAGCTCCTTCATGCAGGTCGAGCTGCTAGGGGGCATGGAGGAGACGGAGGAGGCTTGTTGTATTTCACTTTGCTGAGTGCCGGTATATACTTGTACAATTGCAGGGAATGTGGACCAGCCAGTCCGGGGAGCTTCGCTGGACCAAGGGCAAGGGGTGGAGGATCCTGATCAAGGACGGAGGTCGGGCTTTCCGTCTGGGAATTCATTGTGTTGTTTTTTTAGAACAATATCCCTTGCAGGCATGTGCCTCTTCCGGCACCCGGACAAAAGTGCCGAGAAGCCACCCCCGGAAGGTCATTTGCTCGGAGTTTCGTATATGATATATATATATATATATATCGGTATCTGCAGGCTGGGAAGCCCTCGACTTCGACAACACGTGGATCCCCAGCACACTGCGGTTGGAGGACACCTCTTGCATGGAACACCAAGCTTATATAGGGCATGCATGCATGTTGCCAGGGGGATTTCGATGTAGAGCCGCCGGAGGTGCCGAATCCATCGCTTATAACGAAGTACTCAATTCAGCCCTGCATGCAGGCACGGGAGCCGATCAACTTGGTGCCTGCTGCAGAGGCACCAACTCGAAAACCGCGAAGTGTCGAGCCCTGTTTTTGCATGCAGATTGGCAGGCATCAGACAATTCAGGCTTCGAGGAGCCGGCATGTATACTCGCTTATATATTGAACCTTTCTTATATGTGTTCTGGCAGGAGGTCGAAGTGGAGATGGAGATGGGCCCCGTGGTTCTGAAGCCGAAGGCTTCCATCCCGCCTTGGTAGATCCCTGCATGCGAGCTTGTCGCCCTGCACACGAGAGTGTCATGTCTCTGTGTGTGTGTATCTGAGTGTATAATCCAAACCCAAGCCCCGGTACCCTAACTATATATAACACAATTATATATAGTTCTGGGTGCAGGAGAAGAAAATGCCCACGGTGCCCAAGAGGAAGTGGCTGCTTTCGGAGGAGAATGTTCTGTTTCTTTGTTTAACCCACTCCTCCTTTGCCGTTTGCAGGAGGGCAGTGGCAACAAAAAGGCACGAAAGGGAGCCGGTGCCCAAGATCGCAAGCATCTTCATTTTGGATAACATTTCTAGTGTTCACCCGACAGGGTTGGCAGACCACAAAGATGCCGAAGGCAAGGGTCCGTGGGTTTATAAGGGTTTAGGGTTTATAAGGGTTATAGGGGTTTATATAGGGTTTAGGGCGATAGATTCTTGGATACAATGTGATATGCATGTGCTGTGGCAGGTGGAGACTTCGAAAAAGCCCCGGGAGCCAGAGCATCCGCCGAAGGGCAAGGAGATGCGGTCATGCATGGGGTGCAGTGGTTTGTAAGCACGAATGCATGCAACATGTGGTGAGGAGCAGAGGGCATCCGGATCGGGGGGAGCCTCTTCCAAGGCCTGATTCGCTGATGCATGATGTCGTGGGTGCACTGATAACATGGCACACAAACACAGAGAGACACACACACACACACACACTACACAAGCACACAGGCACACACACACACACACAAAAAAAAAAAAAGAAACAGACACAGAGGCACACACACACACACACACCGAGACACCGAGACACAGCACACACACACACACGAAACACACACACACACACACACACACACACACACGACACACGACACACACACACACACCCAATCCTGACAGGACTCCAGGAAGTGGTGGCCACCGCCACCACCACCCCCTGCAGGGGGTGGGAAAGGCCATGCCCCCCCTCCCCCACCACCACCGGCGCCCCAGACTCCCCCCCCCCCCATTGCACCGGCGGGGGCGGTGGCCAATGGGCCGGTCCCACCGCCTGGGGCGGTGGCCAATGGGCCGGTGCCGAAGTGGGATGGAAAAGGATGGAGGATTGGGGAGTGGTGGATGAACCCCACCACTGGCCAATGGCACGGGCTGGGGGCTCAGCACTTCGTGGCAACCGGATCATGATGCATGTCTCGTGGCACATATATAGGCCTGGTGAAGGGCGATCGCGGCCACGATCTCGCGGTCAAGGCCGGGGAGTGCACGTGAACAACACATTGCGAAAGACATGCATGGTTGTGCACAATGGCAGGACCCATGAACCTGGCATGGGAATCCGTGCACAATCTGTCCGAGGCTGTGGTCGAGTGCATGAGAAAGGGTTAAGGGCTTATAGGTTGTCAGGTAGAAAAGCAGCAGCCACGAACGGCAAAGCAGCCACAGACTCACACAACACAGCAGCCATAGACACACAGAACACAGCAGCCACAGACTCATGCACACAGCACAGCAGCATAGACCCAAGCCCGTTTCTCGTGCACCGGCTGCGGCAAAGAAGCTAGGAAATTGACGGCACAGGCAGCGGGGCCAAAGGAAAAAGGCTTCATGTAAGGTCCGAACATCCGGGGCAAACTCGGAAGTAGGCCGTTCTAGTGCATAGGGGCTAGAACACAGGTTTTATAGATTGATATGGTTTTGGGTCCAGGAACCACATAACTTTATAGATTGATATGGTTGTGTGTGCCTTGGACCCTGAAAGTTTATAGATTGATATGGTTGTCTGTGTTTTTAGGCTACAACTTTATAAATTGATAAATTGTGGGCTCCATATTGCCAGCGATTTTATAGATTGATATGGTTTGGGTTGTGGTTTTAAAAACCCTTTATAGATTGATAAACTTCGTGCCTAGGCTCTAGCTAGCTTGGCAACCTCTAGGCTGGCATCCTTTGCCTCGCTTCCGTGTGCTGTCCGTTCGGAACCTCAGGCATTTTGCCTCTTGTACAGAACACACTGTTTGAAGAAGGAAGAAAAAAAGCTGGCTGCATCGGCTGCATGCACCTGAGATTGTGTGCACCTTGGGACAGGGAGTGTGTACCAGCCTCGCGAAGTTTCCATGTTCTGTGCAAGAGAGAGAAAGAGAGAGAGCGAAAGAGAAGCCAGAGGCAGCCCACAACACCAGAACTCGAACACCCCAAACAACAAAGCCACACAACCAGGAAGCACGAAAACACAGAAACACCAAAACACTTCTAACCCAGAAACACCAAAACACTGTTATATATATATATATATACAGTCCCACAATACGAAATCCCAAACCCCATGCAGACAGCAACCCAAACCACAAGCGAAAAGCCTGCAGCCCATGGTGGGGTGCAGTGGGGTGGCGGGGCGGTGGGGTGGTGCCACGTCTATCCGGAAGTGTGTGCATTCAGTGCAGCCAGAAAGAGAGAGCGATATTTGCATGCATGTTTGTGTGCATGTGCAAGGTGCCAGGTCCAGCCCGGCAGTGTGTGCATACATTGCAGCCAGAAAGAGACAGAGACGGTGAGAGAAGGTACAGAGAAACAACCAAAGCCGCCAACCGTAACCAACAAACTCGACCGCCGAGCCCTTTCCTTTGGAGGGCAGCACGTGACATGACACGGAAGTATATTCCCTGCATGATCGACAGCCATGCACGTCAATCACAGATGTGTGCTTGTGCATGCACGAGCATGCACCATTCGCTCGCAGGGCAGTGCTCGTGAGCAGACATGTCATGCATTGCCGCAGGTTTTGAGTTGCCGAGCAGAGCACGTCACGAGCCAGTTGCCACAACCCGCATCCATCATGGCAGTGCATCAAGTGTTGCACCCCGACATCCGAACACACGAGGCTGCCTTCGTTGATAAGTGGTCTTCTGGCGACTTTCCTCACAATGGCCAGTTTGAGGCTTTGAGTTACGTGTCGAACTACAGACTCACCCAGGGTTATGACGTGATCTCATTTCGTGGATGGCACTGCCACATGATTCGACCGTTGGCGAATCAGGATGGGAGTCTATGGCGGGCCATACAAAACGGCAACGTGAGACCCATGATCATTCGCCCGGCCCCTGCTGGCACCCTCTACATCAACCTTCAAGCCCGCCTCGAGGACGGATTTGTCTGGCTTCAGGGCACCATGCTGTCGGGCCGAGTGGCATGGAAAGGGAGACAACTGGCCACCCTTGACATCAGGATGAATACTGTCTCGGCGAGAGTCAGAACCGTTTTGTTGCGGCAGAACATCATCAGATCGACCAACAAGGTGGTCTTCATGGGACACACACGCATCCTGAGCAAGACGGCGAAGCTGTGGTCCCCACATGTGAAGAAGTCGCAATACCAGAAGCAGTTGCCTAAAAGGCGAATGGTCGGAAAGACCGACCCTCGCTACCTGGCTCTAGGGAGGCATATGGCCCCATTTTGATTTCAGTGTTGTTTACTGTGCCCATGCACTCTGATTTGAGTTTTGTTTCGTGTGGCACATGCACAAGAAGCTGCATCGGTTGAAAAAGAAATCATGCAGTCGCTCGTCCTGCTCATGCATGCATTCACAACATACAGACTTTCGCACAACACCTTTGCACACATGATGCATATATTCATGTTGTGGTCCTCAAGACAGGGTGCCTATTATATATAGTTTCTAGCTATTATATAGTCGCCCAGTGTGTGGATCCGAACCACTCGGGCAATGCTCTCCGGCCGGGTTGTCTGGCCAAAGAGCTTCAGCATGCAGAGCAAGAGATCATGCGATCCACGGGAGATCTGGCGAATGCGAACAGCAGCAAGGCGAGTTTCGAGCGGCGGCTGCCGAAGTAGAGGATCATCGGCAACACCGACCCGAGGTTCGTGGCTTTGCACAAGCATCTGGCACAGTTTTGATGCCCATGCAGAAGCATTGCACAAGCATCTGGCACAGTTTTGATGCCCATGCAGAAGCATGGCGAAGTTTCATGGAATACATGTTGAAAAAAGAAAGCCTGCATGCAGTCGCTTGCATGCTGTCCTGCATGCTCATTGATGCATTCACAAGATGGACATTCACACAACACCTTTGCACACATGATGCATGTACTCATGTTGTGGTTCTCAGGACATATCACGTTGTCTAGCACGATAGTGAAGATCCGCTGTCGCCAGCGAAGATGATGCAGCAATTTGCGGCGGTGAAAGCCATCATCGGGACCCTCCAGGATGACACGGCTCGCCAACATGTCTTGACGGCACAGCTGCACAGCTTGGAGCAGCAGCTCAAGGCGATGGACTTGGGCAACGAAGACATGGAACCCCTCATGAAGACCATCGCCGACTCCCCTTTCTCCCCGGGGCAAAAAGATCAGCTGATCACCATCGTATCCGAGAAGATTGCAAAAGCAGCTGCTAGCAAGAGGACGAAGAAATGCACTCAAGAACTGCCTGATGTTGCTCCGTTCCTCTCGGAAGACGATGTCAGTTGCCTGAGCAATCCCGATCTGAACGTTCTCGCAAAGGTCACACGGCTGAGCATGGTGTTCTCTCGAGTGGGGTGCAGCAACCCAACCGAGCAGTCATGCGGGAGGGCCATCAGCTTCCTCAAGCAACACATGCAGGTAGCAGAATTGGGGGAGCCGGGCGAGTTCTTGAAGTCTGTTCAAGACTTTAAGGCGGCATTGAAAGGACATGTGAAGAAGATGCTGCCTGCTTCAGTGCATGTCCAGACATTCAGCACTCCCGACCAGTTGCCAAAGGACCTGGCCGAACGTTGCTTCAAAGACAGCCCTCAGGCTTCGGTGCGAAGTGGCCCAGTGGGCATCACTGGACCCGTGAGGAAGTCGCACAAGAGTGTTTCGCCTTCCACTTCTGCCAGCTCGTGGCAGCATCAGCCGGGCATGTTCCCGAGTCATATGTTGCCGAGTCATGTGCCGCTGTTGCCGAGTCATGGGCAGCAGTTTATGACGATGCAGCAGATGATGCAGGCATACAATCATATGCAGCAGCAG